GTGTGTGTGTGTGTGTGTGTGTGTGTGTGCCTCTCCGGGGTCGTGCGAACACAAGGCCCCCAGGGACGCTGCGAGGGCATGTGTGGTGGCGGGGGATTTTGAATGATCGGCCTGACTGCCGACGGATGCATGTTGTAACGGCGAGGCGCTTTCGGGCAATAGCCCCCCTTCTGGTGGTGGAGCATATGCGCCAGATTGGTGTTACACATCAAGAAGTGAGGCATCCGAGCGGGACGGACTTGGGCGCCTCTCTCGGTGTTGCCCTCTGCTCGCCCCGCCATTCGCTCCGTCACATTCAAAGCCACGCTGTCACTCGCCCCCCCCCCCCTGGATAGCCCCGCCCTGCCGACCCCCGGCATTGGGATAGAGCCAAGACCGTGCAGCACTGGCAGATCCTTGAGTGTGTTGCATTGTCGTCCGGTGTCGAAGGGCCCATCTGCTCGACAGGCTGCACATGAGGCTCGGAGAAGGAGGGCAAGAGGGACAGAAGGAGAAGAGAGAGAGAGAGAGAGAAAGAGGGGAGAGCACACGGCCATGGCCGTCCGAGAAGAGGGCCCACAGAGGAGGACGGGGAATGCCATGCATTTATCTGAAATACCGCCGACTGCGGAGCGGCCCAGGAGGCTGCTGGCGCTGCAGGAACCCATCCATCTGCAGGCGCCTGAGGGCCTCCATGATGTGTCGTGGCCGAAGTGGCCGCTGTGGAGGGGCGGCTGTGGTCCCCTCGCCGCCGGGTGAGCCAGCGGCCGAGGCATTTGCCGCGGCTTCGGCTCGCTCCCAGTCCTCACGCACCTCGACGGCTGGGGGGCCACAGCCAGGCCATGCGAGAGGGGAGGACGAAGGAGCGGATAGAGAGAGAGAGAGACCCGCGTGAGCAACGGAGCGCGAGGCGAGGGGAGGAGCAAGGCAGGCCAGGCCACCCGGCCACGTACCCTTCTCGACGATGTCACCGACATACACCTTGGCCACGGCCGACATGACGAGCACAATTTGATCGTTGAGCTGGCGTTGGTCCGAAAACAGCGACAGCATGAGCTGCGAGGCCGGCCCGCGCGCCGCGAAGGGAACAAAGAGCGAAGAGAGTTAGCGGCATTCCGCGCGGCCAGCCGGCCGCCGGCCGCCGGGCGAAGGAGAGGCTTGCGGACGAAGGGGCGCAATGCGGGTGTCCACACGCACACGGCGCATGGAGGGGATGCTGAAGCGCGACGCGCGGAAGAGCGTATACCGAGCGCGCTGCTCGCGGTCCATCAAACTCTCCAGCAGGTGGAAGAATTGCCTCCGGGAGATCTCCTCCTTCTGGGTGAGGGACCGCCGGCCGAGTTTGCCGCGGGAAGAGGACCGACCCTCGGACTCGGAATCCGAGTTGGAATCTGACCCGGACCCGGAATCCGAGTCGGACCCGGACCCGGAGTCGGAATCCATGCCGGCCCGCCGCCGCCGGGGCTTCTTCCGCCCGGCCGGCGAGGGAGCCGATGCGGGGCCGCCCTCGGTGGCCAGGCGCTTCGCTGGTGGCAGGTTGGCATCCGGCGCGCGCGGGCGTTTCCCGTCACCGGGCCCGGAGGCGGCCCCGCCAGATCGGAAGAGCACACGTGACCCGGAATCCGAGTCGGACCCGGACCCGGAGTCGGAATCCATGCCGGCCCGCCGCCGCCGGGGCTTCTTCCGCCCGGCCGGCGAGGGAGCCGATGCGGGGCCGCCCTCGGTGGCCAGGCGCTTCGCTGGTGGCAGGTTGGCATCCGGCGCGCGCGGGCGTTTCCCGTCACCGGGCCCGGAGGCGGCCCCGCCGGCAACCTCATCCGGGGACTTGTCGGTTGCCCCCCGGCGCTGCTCGTCATCTCCGTCATCCTCGTCGTCCTCGTCGTCCTCGTCCTCGTCGTCATCATCCTCATCCTCGTCGTCGTCGTCGTCCTCATCCTCGTCCTCGTCCTCGTCCTCGTCTTCATCGTCCTCGTCATCGGAAGCGCCGGCCGGGCCGCGCGCGGAGGATTGTGGTGCCGAGGACACCGGCCCGGAGTCCGAGTCGCTTCCACTCCCGCCGGCCTCGCTGGCCGACGAATCGCCGCCGCTGTCGGAGAAGGGGTCGTCCGCTCCGCCGGCCGTTGTGGCTGTGGAGGCGGTGTCGGATTCGGAACTCGAGGTGAAGAAACCACCGTCCGGCCCAGAATGGGCCTCGTCCGAGGGAGGAGGCGGCGGCATGGGAGGAACGAGGCGGGAGGCACCGAGAGGGAAAGGGCGAGAGGTAGAGAGAGGGAGAGGGAGAAGATAGAAGAGAGCAGGGGGGGGCAGGTGTGGGGGCGACGCGAAAGGGGCCAAG